AGTTAGGAAGTTTCTGGACACAAAGCGGTTTTCCCTGTTAACTTGCAGTAATAATCATTACATGCACCATATATATATATTCAGAATTTCTGCTTAACTTGGTTCACGTGTGAACGTAGGGTTCAGTCGGTCAAGTTTCACGATTATGATCGACAAAACTGGCAACCCGAAGTTTAATAGATTTTCATCTGCTAAAATGATTTCGCCAAATGATGTCTTTATTTGTAAAACTCCGGGGTGATTCTCTACCTAAAAATATCATAAACATGTGTAATTATGCACAACTTTAATAACTGATCTCAGATGACCAACCAATAGACTGACTATTTGCACTGTACGTAATTCGTCAGCATTTTTGCTGTTTGCCGTTATGATTACAATACCAATCGATGAACCAAATATCCTATTTTCTTGATTGCTTAATTCAAGTCAGTTGTCTGGTTTCCGGAAATAGTTACCACTGCAAAGCTGATACAGTGATTTTGCCTTACTTTTACTTGAGGCTTGTGCTGCATGCTGGCATCACTGCGGCTGTTACGTTTTTGCAGAGTATTCAAGAAGATATAACCATTTCTTATGACCACCCGTTGATAAGAGTTACAAAAGACACCACATGAAATAATCGTCTGACATCAGGGGTGATTGACATTTTCTACAGTTCGCTTGCGCAGGCCATTTTGAGTCATTCTGAATTTTTAAGATCACTTAATTACTGCGTAGGTGAGATGAACATTTAAAAGTGAACTGTAAATTGTTCAGATTATCCACGTGGGACTAAATAAATGACATGTCCAAGTGATCACAAGCTAGAAGTGAATGACGAATGAATGTTGCGCTCTTTCTCAGAGAATACTAAAAAATCGGTTAAGCATCAAAAAATTTCCATTTCACGTAAATTATCGAGGTGACGAAACGCTCATGTAAATAGAATTGTATTAGAAAATTTTTATAAAACAAAACTTTCCATGATTCGTATTGAGCCTACAAATATCCTACAAGAGAATCCAATTTTTTAAACGTGTAGTTTCATTATTAGCGCATGAATAGTTATTCTGTTTCTAAATCTTATGTTTACAGGGACAATACGGGCTTGCGGAGGCGGTGAAAGAATTGCAAACGTTACGCAAACAGTTGGAGCAGAGAACTCGGTAAAAACCGTTAATTGTGGAAATACCTTTGAGTAGACTCCTAGCGTTTCAGCACTGTGTCAGAGTTAACGGAGCATTGCAACCGGGCAGAGATAAAACTTTCTGAGTTGGTAGAAATCAACGAAGAACTTCGTCAACAGCTTCACCTCGAAGGAAACGACCTACAGGATTTCGAATTCAAGCTGAATAAGCAGAAGGAGCAACGAAGCGACAAAAATCTGATCACGCTTTTGCAAAAGGAGGTTTTTTACAGCTCTGGTATTTTCGAGCATTGCTGAATTTATCGTATTTGCATTTAAGATAGAAAAATTGGAAGATGAGCGAATCTCTTTGAAAATGCAGTTGCGCCAGATAGCAAAAGCGGGTGGTCCAAAGTAAAGCTTTGCATAAATGTAGGAAATCGTTATTATTACACAAACGTTTAGTGCGATTCAACTTGGTCTGACGAAGACAGACATGGAAGCAATAATTTCGTCAAACAGGGAAGAGTCCACCACAGAAAAAGTTTCTCGACTGGCTTCTGTCGATTCGGCGCTGATGTCGGTTCAACTACTGATCGATCAACAGCTGAAAACTGGTCATAGCGAGCTGAGGGACGAAATCGCTGCCATCGGCAAAGCAGTTCAGGAAAACCTTGACGCGTTCAAAAGGGAAGAGTTAGATGCTTTGAGGCAGCCAAAAAAGTCCTACACCACGGTATTTTGATCTGAAATTAGCAAGTTTTATCCTGCCTTTAATGATATTTTTAGTCCGATCTTTGCATTCAGACTGAAGAGGAATCCTTGCCAGAAAAAGAGTCAAAGATCTCAATGAGCGCAGAGCCAACGGCAACTGTGACGGATTTGGAAGTACGAAAGTTTTTACTTATTTGTTTGTGAAGCGTATTTCTAAATATTCTGTAAATTTCTGTTTGCACCGTAAGTAAGCATTTTAAGCCTTTCGATTGAGCAACTTGATATTTTTTACTCATATGATATCCGAGAGATCCGATATATATATATATATGTGTGTGTGTGTATGTGTGTGTAATGCTTGAGGTACAAATAATGTAGTTATGCTGATTCGCTGATGAGGCTTCGCATTCTTGGAATGCACGTGCTACAGTGCCAGCAAGTGGTGAAATGTTTAATGGCGTCCAATCCCGCTCAAAGCGATGGGCGGCGCGACCACGGCGCGTGATTCCAGAGATGAAAATGGCTTATTATTCTTACCTGCGATGTTGAAAACTGGTGCTCTGCCAGAAAACAGCGTCATTTGACATACATAGAATCAGGAATTGTCCGTATATTTGTCATTTCCTCATCAGAGAATGCAAGACAATGATCGTTATTTGCGTCTGATGTGCACGTGACTGGTGTTGCTAACCCTGGTAATGTTCATTTCAAAGGTTTGGACTGACCAACTTGGGCCTTTTTTTTACATAACGGCTTCGCGCATTCTAAACTGCAAACTTATCATCGCCTTGCATAAAAAATGTCCGTACTAATTCAGTCTTATGCCGTGCCTTTCAAGGATCAAAGTCTAACACTGGTAGTCAGTAATTCGATCGCATGCGCAACGTAGTTATTTTGTTCTGCCTCCTCAGCTTCGGCAGTTGCATTGACGGAATTTTGGATGTGGCTTAAGATCGTAGTGCGACCATGCAGCCAAAAAAAGAAAATCTATGATGTTTTGAATAAGAAGATGATCACATTCTTCAGGGAAGCTTTCTGCGTTACTAAAGAGCTGCGTTTCTACTTGACCTAATCCCGCGTGCGGACGGCCTGAAGCTTGTCAGCGACTTTTTCACTACAGCTAAGTATTAGCAAAGAATGGTATGGCTTACGAATGTGCCCCTCTTATTTATGATGCAATCAAGCGCTAACCTACTGTGTATCCGTTATGACGTTCTCTAAAACCTTGGAAGCTCGAGTCCAACACGAACTGTTGGCAGCATCCATACCACTATATCTGATATCATGCTTGTTTTTCGTCATGGTATATGCTTTGTCTTGATAAACAGTCGCTGAGAAATACTTGGTCAATGATTATTATCGAAACAAGGTGGCTGTCTGATTGATCGTGATTGATTATTATATTTCCAAAATAGCACAGATATGAAAATAACATATGCGTGTTTCGATTTTTAATGGGTTAATTGGTGTGCAGCTATTTGAGAGCACCACTGGCTTGCAACTTCAGTCTTTGCAGCGAAAGTTTGGTGTTTAACGCGTTATTCTGCTAGAGGTTCCTGCAGCTTTTTGCAAAATACTGTTTTAGCATATTCTGTGTTATTTCCGGGATTGCAGTATTTGTTACTACATTGCTGATAGTCGGTCCAGGTAAGCTTACATTATGAAGGAGATAGCCCCATACCGGCCTTTCGCACATACTTTCACGTGCTTAAATGTAGCTGTTGATATAATGTGTTATTTCGGCTAGTTACGTTTTTATGACGTTGTAACAAGCTTAACACATACCAGCATTTTGCATCGTTTATTGGCTAGAGAAATCGGTACTTTGCTCGTTAACGTAATACAACAGAAATGTGTATTTTTTATATGGCTTGCAGCAACATAGCGTAATGTCACTGTATAAAATGAGGTTTAAAATTTTAAACAGATAGAGTAATTGAATGATTCTTAGATTTGCAGAGAGGGCGATAAATAAATAGTTGCAAGACTGTAGTTATTCACACAGAGCGAATCATTCAACTTCAGTCCGGTTGGTCTTACCAGTGCTTTCAGGAAATAGCTAACAAGAATGTATTGTATGAAGAAAGGACAGAAGAATTAACGACGTTTCTTTCGCGCAACTTGCACAGTTCTGATATTGTCCCATTTTCGAAAGAGCAAGAGTTGCTTAAGCGGATTTCTGATCTGGAACAAGAACTGCAAGAAGCGCTTTTGAAAGAACAAGAAACAGCGGTATGGATGTTTGAAACTGTGATTATTACATAGCATATTATAGAGTCTTCTCCACTGTTTAAAAACAAGTGACGATGCAGACATTAAGAAACAGTTGGTAGAGCTCGGAAGAAAATGCATTGTACTGAAAATTACAAATGCTGCATTGGAACGTGTACGAAGTTACGGCAACCAAGTAACTGCAAATCTCAGGGAAGTAAGTAACTGAATCGAAAGAAAAGCAGGAATATGGAAAATTACCCTTTGAGGAACGGAAGACATTAACGTTGGACATATTAACCCTGAAACAAAAACTAATTGAAATGAGCAGCGAATCAGACCGACGGCAGGTGCAAGTCATGTAAAGCAAAACGAGATATGTTATTGACTAAATTTAGAAAATGGCCGCTCTCCAGATGTCGTCCATTCAACGGAGGCTTGAAAACAGTGTTCGTCTGGCCGACTACGATAGACTGCGTGACGAAATGGCACAAATTACTGGAAAGTACAGGACGCTTCTGGAAAATGCTACATCTGTTGGAATCTGTCATTCGTT